AGATCCTGGGGACGGCTCTGGAAAAACTCGGCAGCCACAGGCGGGAAGGGCGTGTGGCAGGAGGGGAATATTCGGGATATTCTGGGAATGCAGCTCTGACCTCTCCTGCCTGGATGGGAAAAGACTGGATTGGGAAATTCCAGGGAATCACGGCCCTGTGCGGGAGGAAAAACGAGCCGAGGCTCTGCAAATCACAACAGAAAGAGGTGTCAGGGAGATAAATACCCCAAAAACAGCTTTTTCCTCCTTCCCCATCCCCTTTCTGCCAGGAATGTTCTCGATTTGCCATTGGAAGCGTGGGATTTGGGAACAGCCGGAGTTCAGCTCTTGCTGCAGCCCGGAGCCGCTGCCAGGCGCTGGAGCTGCTCCCAAAAATGCAGAGAGCTGCAGCCCAGTGCAGCTCGGGGGGGGGTTAAAAACCTGAATTTCCCAGAGGGAAGGACAATCCAGCCAAAATTCCATCTCCCTGTCCCGGATTTCTCCAGGGGCAGAGCTCAGCCAGCTTTTTCCCCCATGGAATTTGGACAATTCCAAATGTTCCAGTTAACGCCATGCCCTGAGGCTCAGGGATAAAATGAGACGGCCCCAAGGCTAAAAATGATGGATTTGAGACTTCCTGGATAAAAATGATGGATTTGAGGCTTCCCACAGCCCGGATTTGACTCCTGGATCCTCTCCTGATCCTGGCCATGGTCCGGGATGTCCCAGGAAGAGCTGGAAGCCACCCCAGGAGCTGTCGCTGTCCCCGGGAGCGTCCCGCTCTCCCCGGCCCTGCTCCCTGCTGAGCTCTCGCTCCCGATTTTTCCAACTGGAGGAGGGAGAAAGGCCGGGAAAATCCCTGGGGATTTATCCCGACAGGAATGAACATTCAGAACCCCACGGGAGGTGCTGGGCTGAGTTTTGGAGATGGGATCCAGCCACCGGAGCATCTCCTCAACCTCCGACGCTCCCGCGGGATGGGATGTGCCATCCCTAGGGAATGACGGCTGGATCCAAACACCTCTGGAATGTGCCGAGAGGGCCAAATTCCACCTTTTTTCCAGGCTGGAGGTTGAGCCTGGATCAGGGAAACCACAGGAACCTCGTGGGAGCGTTTTGAAGTGTGGGGGGGGAAACCACAAGCAAAACAACGATCCCAGAGGCAAAACAACAATTCCAAAGGCGAGACAGCAATTCCAGGGCCTGGAAGCGGCAGGATGAGCACACCAGGCTGATTTCCCAGCCCTCCTCATTAAAATCCAGCCGGAGAGAGGCAGAGAAGCACCGGGATAAGAGAGAAGAGGCGGCTGCAGCCCCCGGGCGCCCGAGCCGAGCTCTCTGCTACCCCCGGCTGCGTTTTTAGCTCCTGGCTGCTTCCCAGACAAACAGGAATAACGGGAATCACGTTATCGCCCTCCCTGCCCACGGAGATGCAGGAGGATGGGGAAATACGGGAATTTTAAATTAAAAAAAAAATAAAAAATCTCATCCCTGTGCACAAAACAAGGATTGAGGCAGGGGAGAAATCGCTGGAAAAGCAGCATCGCGGTGCTGGCGGGTTTGGAGAGGATTCTCCCGATCCTGGTGGCTCCAGCCTGGCTTTGGACACCTTCAGGGGTGGGAAAAGTGGTGCCGATTTCTTCCCCAAATCCCATCTAAACCCACCCTCCTCCCGCTGGGAATAGCTCCAAGCAAACGCTTCCAAAGCCGCTTTTCCTGAGCAAAAAATCCCGGCTCAAACCTCGGCAGGGACTTTGCCAGGTTTCCCCGTGGAAATGTTCTCCAGATTTCCCGTGGAAATGTTCATTTTTAGGGAATAACATCCCGAAATGGCAGCTGGAGGCTGCTGTGAGGGACAGGGGGTGGCACATGGGGACACGTGTGGGGACATCGCTGTCACCCTCGGGGTGCTGCTGGCTTTGAGGGGTGAAGGAAAGGGGGGTGGGAACGGCCTCGTATCCCAGGAAAAGCCTCATATCCCAGGAAAACTCTCCCATCCCAGGGTCAGCCTCGTATCCCAGGAATTCCCCTCCTGGCAACATCCACCTCGGGAACACCCACCCGCCCAACTTCCGAGCACCAAAACCCACCGGGATTTCTGAGAACGCCCTCAAAGACACAAAGTTTTCCCTGTGGCGGCTCCTGGATCCCATCTCCCGTCTCCAGCGCCGCGTTCCGGGAGCTCAAGGTTTCCATGGAAGCTGCGGCGGCCGCGGGGCTCAGCCCGGGAATACAGATGAGCGGCGAGGGGGGGCGGTTGCCACGGTGCCGGCGACATTCGGAGCCCTTTGTCCCTTTATTTCTTCCTCCTTTTCCCCTCTTTTTCTCCTTTTCCCCTTTATTTCTTCCTCCTTTGTCCCGTCGTTTCTCCGTTCGTTATCCCGGCTGAGCCGGGAGATTCGCTCCGGAAGAGGCGCCGAGGTTTGCTCGGAGTTGGGAGATGCTGGAGGGTCCCGGTTTCCTGGCCAGGGTGGGGTTAGGTGGGATTTTGGGATGAAATCCCTCCCTGGGAGGAGCTGAGATGGAATTCCCGGAGAATCCATGGCTGCCTCAGCCCTGGAAGTGTCCCAGGACAGGCTGGAGCATCCTGGGATATTGGAAGCTCCTGCCCATGGCAGGGGCACGACTGGGATGATCCTTAAGATCCTCCAACCCAAACCATTCCACAATCCTATAAAAAATTCCAGTTTCAGGAATCCTGACTCATTCCCAGATTGGAAATTCCCAGAGAATCCGTGGCTGCCCCATCCCTGGAAGTGTCCCAGGCCAGGCTGGAGCACTCTGGGATAGTGGGAATGTCCCTGCCCACAGCACTGGATGGGATTTGAGGATTCCATTCCAGGATTCCATCATTCCATGAGAAATCCCTCCTGCCCCAGGCAGGATCCCCGCTCCCAGCATCCCAACTTTCCCCAGGGGCTGGATGGAGGTGGAAAACCAGGAATGGGTGAGGGAAGGATTTTCCCACAGCACACTTCCCATCTGCCCACGCCTGGTGTGTGCTGGATCCAGAGGAGCTGGAGAAGCTGGAAAAGATGGAGAAGATGGAGAAGCTGGGGAATCCAGAGAAGATGGAGAAGCTGGAGAAGCCAGGAAAGCTGGTGAAGTCGGAGAGCAGCCCCGAGCTCAGCTCGCTCCAAGATTTTCCCTGGGAGCAGCCATCCCTCGGGAATGTCGCACTCGGAGCGGAGCCGCGGGACCGGCAGCAGGAATTCCGGGAGCTGCTTCCCAGGCAGAGCGGGATCAGCCCCATCATTTCCCGGGATTTTTCCCCCTCAGCAGGGACCCCTCACTGCCAAAGCCCTTCCTTTCCTCCCAGTTTGCTCCTTTCCATGGATTTTAGTCGCAAGTTTTCCCAAATCCATCATATTTCCACAAGTTCCTATCCCGTGACTCACACAAAGCCCTGAATTATCCCGTATCCAGGAATTTTCCCAGCTATCCATGCAGAAACCCTGTCCTGTGCTGGGAAAATCGGGATAAAATCCAATTATGGGCAGAACCAGCAGAGCTGGCGGGCTTTTCCCTGGAAAACCAGGGCTGGAACCAGGTGCCTTTTCCAGACTTTCCTGCACAGCTTGAAGAAAACAAATAACACCCCCCAAATCCCTCCATAATATATTTTATTTAAGGAGAAAAAATTCCCGAGATATTTGAACAGTTGGAGACTTTTATAGACCCGAAAATGCCGGAGCACTTAAAAGGAAAGGTGTGGATCCATCAGAGGGAAGCAGGAATCGATAGATCCATCCTTTCCTTTCATGCTGGTTCTCCGGGAGCTGCTTTAAAAGCAGCAGGAAAGGAGGGAAAGAGCGGGATTGATCCGGGAGGAGTCGATGAGGAATAAACGCGGCTCGGGAGCCCTTTCCAGGGGATAAAACAGAAACTTTGCTTTTCCCGCTTTTTTAATGTTTGGGGTTTTTTTTTTTTCCTTGCTGGATGAGAGGCTTTTAAGGGAAGAAAAGGTTGAATTTGGGTCAGCATGGGGCAGGAGAGCCGGAGGAAATCTTGGAATGAAATTCCATTCCCGCTTCGGCTGGACTGGGAGAGGGGCAGGAGGTGCCGGGGGGTTCAAACCCATCCCAGCCTGAGCATTCCCGGTGTTTGGGGGAGGTTTTTCCCTAAGGAATATCCCATTGGAGGGCTGCAAGTGGGGCTGGAGCTCCCCGGTGGGGGAATTTGGAGCTGGGGAGGATGAGGAGCAGCGAGCAGAGCCCGCAGGATGATTATCCCCATGGATAATTATCCCCACGGATAATTATCCCCATGGATAATTATTCCCAACGCCTGCAGCTCTGGCTCTGCTCAGCCACAGATCCAGGGACTGCTGGGGGTCCCGGGCAGATTCCATGGGATAATCCCACCTGGATTTTCTGGGATGAGAGGGAACAGAAAATGCCATGGGTATAAAGTGGAATTCATGGATTTGTTCTGAGGTTCCTTGGCAGATTACACGGGATAATTCCGCCCAGATCCCGTGGGATGGGAGGACACAGTTAATTCTGGATATAAAGTGGAATTCATGGATTTGTTCTGAGGGTGTTGGGGGTCCTAGGCAGATTCCATGGGATAATTCCACCCAGATTCTCTGGGATACGAGGGCAGAGTGAATGCCATGGATAAAAAAATGGAATTCATGGATTTGCTGGGCAGTTTTGAGGGCACTGGGGGTCCTGGGGGTGCCGTGCTCAGGTTTTTACCTCTCCAATCTGCTCCTTGTCCCTGCCCCTTGTTCCCCAGCAGCTCCTCTTATCCAATTTCCCTGTTTCTCCAGGAATGACCTCGAGGAGGAGCCCGGAAGATGCAGCCGAGCCCGGCAACGACTCCTTTGGGGAGGAAGAAGAGTCCCAGCTCTGACTGAGGCGCCCCCAGTGCTTTGAGCTCCCATTTCGGGGGCGCCGGGCAGGGGCCGACGCTTCCAGGGGCTCGCATGGAGCATCTCCCCCCACGGGCGCCGTCCCCACCTCGCCGTCACCCCGTGGCCAGCTCTGGATGCTCCCTGTGACCTTCTCCAGCCCAAAATGAGAGGCCTCCAGGCCAGCTGCCTCCTGCTGTGCGTGGTGGCCGCCGGCGCCATGCCCACGGTGCCCTGGCGGGTGGCGTGTCCCCCGCGCTGCGTCTGCCAGATCCGGCCCTGGTACACGCCCCGCTCCGCCTACCGCGAGGCGGCCACGGTGGATTGCAACGACCTCTTCATCACCTCGGTGCCACCAGAGCTGCCCGAGGGCACCCAGACCCTGCTGCTGCAGAGCAACAACATCGCCAGGCTGGAGCAGGGCGAGCTGGGCTACCTGCGGAACCTGTCGGAGCTGGATCTGTCGCAGAACAGCTTCTCCGACGTCTGGGATTTCGGGCTCAGGAACATGCCCCAGCTGCTCAGCCTGCACCTGGAGGAGAACCAGCTCTCCGAGCTGCCCGACGGCAGCTTCCCGGGCTTGGGGAACCTTCAGGAGCTCTACCTGAACCACAACCGGCTCCGCCGCATCGCCCCCCGTGCCTTCGCCGGCCTGGGCAGCCTCCTGCGGCTCCACCTCAACTCCAACCTGCTGAGGACGCTGGACAGCCGCTGGTTCCAGATGCTGCCCAGCCTGGAGATCCTCATGGTCGGGGGGAACAAGGTGGACGCCATCCTGGACATGAATTTCCGGCCCCTGAGCAACCTGCGGAGTTTGGTGCTGGCCGGGATGCAGCTGCGGGAGATCTCGGATTACGCCCTGGAAGGGTTGAGGAGCCTGGAGAGCCTCTCCTTCTACGACAACAAGCTGGCAGATGTCCCCAAGAGGGCTCTGCAGCAGGTGCCCGGCCTGAAATTCCTGGATCTGAACAAGAACCCGCTGCAGAGGGTCAAGCAGAGCGACTTCACCAACATGCTGCACCTCAAGGAGCTGGGCCTCAACAACATGGACGAGCTGGTGTCCATCGACCAGTTCGCCCTCATCAACCTCCCCGAGCTGACCAAGCTGGACGTCACCAACAACCCCAAGCTGTCCTTCATCCACCCCAAGGCCTTCCAGCACCTTCCGCAGCTGGAGACGCTGATGCTCAACAACAACGCCCTAAGTGCCTTGCACCGGCAGACGGTGGAGTCGCTGCCCAACCTGCAGGAGATCAGCATCCACGGCAACCCCCTGCGCTGCGACTGCGTCATCCGCTGGGTCAACAGCACCCGGCCCCGCGTGCGCTTCATCGAGCCCCAGTCCACGCTCTGCGCCGAGCCGCCCGACCTCCAGCGCCGCCACATCCGCGACGTCCCCTTCCAGGAGATGACGGAGCAGTGCCTGCCGCTCATCTCCGCCCGCAGCATCCCGGCGCGCCTGGAGGCTGAGGTGGGCGACAACGTGGCCCTGCACTGCCGGGCGCTGGCGGAGCCGGAGCCGGAGATTTACTGGGTGACGCCGGCCGGGGTGAAGCTGCTGCCGTTCGGGGACGATGGAAAGTTCAAGGTGCACTCCGAGGGGACGCTGGAGATCCGCGGGATCGCGGCGCGCGAGGCCGGGCTCTACACGTGCGTGGCTCACAACCTGCTGGGCGCCGACACCCGCGGCGTCCGCGTGCTGGTCAACCGCTCCTTCCCGCTGGGCAGGGCCGAGCTGGAGCTGCTGGTGGTGGACGTCCAACCCTACCACGTCCTGCTGGCCTGGCGGCCGCGCCTCAACGCCGTCTCCTCCAACCTCACCTGGGCCAGCTCGGCGCCGGGCTCCCGGCTGGGCGCGGCGCGGATCCCGGCGGGCACCCACAGCTTCAACGTCACCCGGCTGCGCCCCGACACCGAGTACCGGGCGTGTCTGCGCGTCACCTTGGTGGCATCGCCGGTCAGGGTGGCGTGTGTCACCGCCAGGACTAAAGAGGCCAGCCAGGGGATGCCGTGGGGACAGGGGACGCTGGTGACGGCGCTGCTGCTGTGCCTGCTGCTCCTGGGGATGGCGGCGCGCGCCGGATCCCGGCGGGAATCGCTCCACGGCGCCGGGGCCGTGCGCGTGGTTTATCCCGTGCGGCCCCGGGGACACCTCCTGGCCGTGGAGGTGCAGGCAGCGCCCCTGGAGTGCTGAGGGAGGATGGATTTTGGGGGGATTCAGCGGGATTTTGGGGTGGGCGGGGAAGGGGGGAAAGGGTTTTTTTACCAAAACACGACAGGTGTGGGATAAAACGGGATTTCATGGACATGACCTTGAGGAGCCTCTGGATCCGTGTGGAGGGGCTAGATTTGGCCATGGATCCCAAATAAACCCTGCTGGGAAGATGGGAGGGGACCGGGAATGCCGCGGGGACGATGCCCCGAGTGGGTGAAGAGCCATAAAGAGGAACCCCAAACCTGCGTCCCCCTGGCAGCAGGGACACCCCAGAGGTGTCACCTCCCTCACTGGACAGTCCCTCCTTTGGAAATACAAAAAAAAACCTAAAAAAACCCCTAAAAACAAAGAAGTTCCTTCCTTTGGGATCTGTGTGGGGTCTGGGGTTTCTTCTCTGGGGTTTTTTGGAGCGTTGGGATCATCAAACAAAGCACCCCCAGTGTCACCTCCCTCGCTGGACAGTCCCTGCTTTGGAAATACAAGAAAAACCTAAAAAAACCCGAAAAATAATTTTTTTTTTTTTTTTTTTCCTTTGGGATGTGTGTGGGGTTTGGGGTTATTTTTGGGGGTGGTCTTTGGAGCATTGTGATCATCAAGTGTCACCCCCTGCTTTGTCACTGCTGTCACCTGGAGGGGAAGCAGGAAGGGATTTGGGATTAAAAAAAAAACCCCAGGAAATGCTGATGGTGACACTTCCCTGTGGGGCTGGATGGATCCGGGATCCCACAAGATCCCAGAACTTTTGTGGATAAAAGGTGAAAAAAAAACCTTAAAAAAAACCCCCAAAACCTAAAAAAAAAAAAAAAGTAAATAACAGGAAGAAAAGAGGGGAGGAAGTTGTGGGTTTGCGAAAAAAAAACAAGGAAAAAAACCTGGGAATGTTGGGATGCACCTGGAGGGGTCCAAGGGGCATCGCTGGGATTTGGGAATGGGGGGAAAACTTGGATTTGTGGGTTTGGGAAATCAGAAAAAAACAAATCCCCAGCCATGGGATTTGTGTCCAACTTTCCAGCCGGGAATGTGGATCCTGGAAGGAAGGAGAGCGGCAGGAGCTGGGTGTGGGTGCCCTCTAGTGAGCTCCAGGAGTGCCGATCCCAAAAAAACAGCTGGAAAAGGGAGGAAAATTCCGCTTGGAATTGTCACTGGGATGTGGCGGGTGATCCCACGGGAATGTCAGAGGAGATGGGATTGGGATTTGGAATGGGCTGGAGAACAAAGGTCCAAATCCAGAGGCTTTGCTGCTGCCATTCCCAGGGGATTTTGCAGACATTGGAAGGGGAAAAATCTGCCTGGAAAGGGGAAAAATTTTCCTAAAAAGAAGGAAAAGTCTGTCTGGAAATGGGGGAAAAAAACTGAGGGGAAAATCTGCCCGAAAAGGGGGCAAAAATTGCCAGGACATGGGAAAAAATTTGCCTGGAAATGGAAAAAAATCTGCCAGAAAAGGGGGAAATTGTGCCTGAAAAGGGTGGAAATGGAGCTTTAAAGGAATTATTTTATTCCTCAAAAGTTTGTGTTTTGTTTTTAAAGCCACTTTTCACTCAAAAATGAGGAATTTTTATCCTAAATGGTAAGCGAGGACCGATGGAACATCCCAAAATATCCCAAGGCTGCTGGAATTGAATCCTGCTGGACAGAGACGATGCAGAATAAATTTAAATATATTTAAAATAAAAGATGAAATAGAAACTAAAAAGCCCAAAAAGAAAGCAAAATATAACATTATTATTATTTTTTCCGTCTGATTTGTGACCTGAGAGGTGTGGATTTAAAACTTGGATTTATTTCCCATTTGGGAGCAAGGAATTCTTCAACCTGCTGACCTTAAACAATAAAAAAAATCAGGAATAAAGTTCTTTTTCTTCTCTCCAAAACAAATCCCCTTCCCTCCCACCATAAATATTTATTTCTATTTTTATCCCTCAGCTCCAAAGGAATTGCACAAGTTGGGATTTATGGAAAAAAAAATATCCCAAAAGTCACGATTTTTCCCAAATCTTCTGCTCTTGGTCAGGAGAAAGAATCCCAAAGGATAAAACCAGGCTGAAGTTGGGGAATTGCGAAAATTTCCAAAATTTTGGGGTTTTGATCTCAAGGTGATTTCCATGGAAAAGTGGATCCTGCAGAGGATTCTTGGTGGGATTTAAATCTTGGTTTTCTTTGGTTTCACTGGCTGAGCTCTGGAATTGGGGTTTGAGTGCAAAAATCCTCATTTTGGGGTTATTTTAGGGGCAGAAGGTCCTGCTATCCCATAAAGATCCTGATGACCACCTTGATCCTGCAGACCAAGCTCTGGAATTGGGGGTTTTTGTGCAAAAAATCCTCATTTTGGGGGTTATTTTAGGAGCAGAAGATCCTGCTAGCCCATGAAGATCCTGATGACCATCCTGATCTCCTTCCTGCACACACTGAAATTGGGATTTGAGTGCAAAAAAAGAACTATTTTGGGGGTGATTTTAGGAGCAGAAGATCCTGCTAGCCCATGAAGGTCCTGATGACCATCTTGATCTCCTTCCTGCACACCGGGCACGGCGATCTCTTCTTCTTTAGCATCCTGGCACACCTGAAGCAGGCCACCAGGTGAGCAGTCCTTCCATGGACAATATTCCCATCCCGAGGCCTGTGCTGGCACAGGAAGCAGGGACTCAGCAGGGTTTTGATGCTCTCCAAAGATTCCACCTCCTCCTCTTTTTTCAGCTTGGCGAAATCCCGGTTTTTCCCATCCCGCGCCAAATCCAAGGACTCGATGGAGCTGCCGGGATCCACGCGGGGTTTGTTTTCTCCCAGGAAAAGGTGCTTGGCTTGGCCAGCCGGGGCTGAAATCGTCCTCCTACAGTCTGGGACGTCCACCCCTCTATCCTGCTCCTGGTTTTCCATGGAATTGATGTTGGAAAGGGACAGGGAATGGGGCAGTTTGGGGCAGTCCCGGTACCAGTCCTTGCGCAGGGCCCAGCAGCGGTAGCAGTACCTTTTCCCCGGAGAGTTGAATTTCCTGCACTTGGAGCATTGCCAGCAATCCTGAGGGATTTAAGGCAAAAAAAAAAAAAAAAAAATCCAGGAAAAAAAAAAAAAAATCCCATTTATTTTTGGATATTCCTCGTTTTAGCCATGTGGGAAAAGCAGCAAGGAAGCCTCGTTAAAAAATTTGTATTTAGGAGGGATTTATAAGCTGGCAAATCAACATTTTGTGGCTTGGGATTGATTTATCCCAAATCTGTCCCTCATGAATTCCTCTCCTTCCTCTCCCACAGCCCTCTGGAAGAATCCAAGCTGGGGCAGTTTATTTTTATTTAATTCCAGTAGAATTTTCAACCTTTTGCTCAAAATTCAAGGGGAGAGCTCCTGGGATATGGCAGGAATTTGTTTTTCAGGCTCACCCATCACTTACCAGCTGTTGAATCTGCATAATTAATGGATTTATTAATTAATTATCTCACAGATAAAGGGCAGGAGCTGCCCAAGTGCAGAGCCAGGACTCAGCTGTCCAAAGCCAGGGACATCCCCATTTATTCCAGCCTAGAAAATTCTGTTAAAATCATAAAAATTCTGCTAAAATTATTAAATACTGCTAAAACCAGTAAAATTCTGCTAGAATTATTAATATTCTGCTAAAACCCACTAAAATTCTGGGGTTTTTTGAGTAATTCTAAAGTGCTACTTGAAATTTCCAGGCCCCTTCCAAGGATTAATCCTCCAGATTTCCATCCACAGGACAACATGGAATTAAAATATAATTAAAGCCTTATTAAAACCTTATTAAAACATGCCTGGGTATCAATACAATGTCATCCAGCCACTGGTTTTTTTTTGGAAAACCACATGAAAATCAGCTTTTCCACCCCAAAACCAGGAGCAGATGTGGGATGAGTCCTTCCAGCCCCAGGTAATGCTGATCCCAAGGAATTCCCACCTCAGCAGCAGCCTCTGTATCCGTGTCATCACTCAGGCACTGGGAATCCTCCAGCTCATCCAAGCACACGTCCTCAGGCACCTGGAATTCCAGGAAATCATCAGAGTGTGGGAATGTTGGAATATTCCGTATTTATGGCTCGCCTGGCGCTGCACACCCCAATTAAAGGATCCTATCATCACCCTCCTCATTAAATCACTTCTAGAAGTGAATAAAAAGCCATTTTTGCAGTGGTTATTTTGCAGAATGTTGGTAAATTTTGCTGGATTACCATGATCAGATTTTTCTCTTTGAGTCTTTAGTTGGACTCGATCATTAAAAGCCTTTTCCAAACTTAATTCCACGATTTTTGACTTACAACTCTTGCAGGTATCGGTTAGAAACCCACTCAAGTTTCTGCAAGAAGTTTTAATTCCTTTCTAAAACAATTTTATGCCTTGAAAATACGAATTTCAACCAAAACCCACGCAGGAAAACCATCAAACACACGAGGAATGGCGACAGCCTTTCCTAACCAGGATTTAACCTCTGGATGGGAACAGATCCAGCCTTTCCAAGGGCACCGTGGGATGAATTAAAACAGGGAAAACATGGCAGAGGTACCTTGGTGTCACCTTCTGGGACCTCCTCACAGTCCAGCACCTCCACCTTGAGCCCAGCACCGCCCTGCTCCAGGGGACACTCGTTGAGGAACCACAGGTCATCCGTGGTGTCTGAAACTACGGCAGTGTCGATGTCCTGAGGGGGAAAAAAATCCAGGAAAATCCATTTAGGAGCAGCTCCACATCCAGCGCTGCCCCGTTTTCATCTCCACCAACATCCAAAGCCCTCACCGCCCTCAGAACCTGCTCCTGAAAATTTCTACCTCACAGGATCCCCTTTTCCCAACATTTCCCATATTTCCACCTCAAAAGTTCCCTCTTTTCCCATTTTTCCCCCTCACCAACTCAGTTTTTCCCAACTTACACTTCACAGGCTCCCCTTTTTAATATTTTCACCTCACAGATTCCTTTTCCCAATTTCCACCTCAAAAGTTCCCTCTTTTCCCAATTTCCCCTCACACTGACTCAGTTTTTCCCAATTTCCACCTCAAAAGTTCCCTCTTTTCCCAATTTCCCCTCACACTGACTCAGTTTTTCCCAATTTCCACCTCACAAGTTCCCTCTTTTCCCATTTTTCCTCCTCACCAACTCAGTTTTTCCCAACTTCCACTTCACAGGCTCCCCTTTTTAATATTTTCACCTCACAGATTCCCTTTTTTCCCCAATTTCCACCTCAAAAGTTCCCTCTTTTCCCAATTTCCCCTCACACTGACTCAGTTTTCCCCAATTACCACCTCACAGACTCCCCTTTTTAAAATTTTCACCTCACAGATCCCCTTTTTTCCAATTTCCACCTCAAAAGTTCCCCAATTTTCACTTCACAGATTCCCCTTTTCCCAATTTCCACCTCATGGGCTCCCCTTTTTCCAATTTCTCCCTCACCAGTTCCCCTTTTCCCAACTTTTTTCCAACTTCCCCCTCACAAATCCCCCTTTTCCCAATTTCCACCTCACGGTCTCCCCTTTTTCCAAACTTCCAGCTCCCCTTTCCAGCTCGCCCATCACCCTCCAATGTTCATCCCAATAAAAAAGGGCAATTCCCAAATTCCAGGCACATCTGAGGCCCTTCAGGGAAGAGTTTGGTTGATTCAAAACCACTAAAAGTCACCAAAATTTTTGGGAAAGGCTTGGACGGGCCCACACTGGGAAAATGCGGAGTGGGAAGTGGAAAGAGAGAAAAAAAAAGGGGAATATTTAATTTCTTTGGAACCCAAAAGAGGGGAGGAAGAGGACACAAGGCTCCTCTTTCAAGTGGTTACACACCTGGTTAGTCTGAATATCCGTGGATCCGTTACTCCTGGATTTGTAATTGCTTCTGAGATTCCCTAAAAACCACCACGGCAGCCCGGCCACATCCCATTCCTCAAAAACCAGATCCAGCTTGGGCTTTTTGCTTTTGGAGAGGTTTTCTATCAAGTCTTTGTCTACAAGAGCCAAGCAGAGTCCGAGTCATTGGGTAAGAGACCAGCTGAGAAAAATTGGGCTCAAATCTGAATTTTTTTTACTTTTTTGCATCAGCATGAGAGCTCTGGGGTTTGGATAGCCCATGTGGAAAAAATTCCTGCACGAGCCAGGGAACATCCCAGTGTTCTCAGAGCCCTTTTACTGGGACAGGTTGAGTTTAATTTCAGGTTTCACCACAGAAACACAAACAATTCCCCAGCCTGAGCGGATTTCTTGAGTGATTTTAAACGCAGAAATTATTGGAATTCAGCAATTTGCAGCTCCTGAATTCCCAAGAAGTGGGGATCCATCCCAAACCAATCACTCTGGATTCCAGGACCACTTTGGATCTCCCTCCCTCCAGTGCCTGGAGTTTCCCCAAGGCACAGCCAAGGCTGCTCTGTAAATCCAGGGAATTTCCAGCTCTCCCATTTGAGCTGGAAACAAGGAGCTGCTTTTACCACTGAGCTTCCCTCACACGAGAGAATAAAAAGTGGAAAAACAAGAAAATTATTCCTGAAATCTCCACGAGTGACCCAGCAAAAAAATCCCAGGGGGGAAACGTTAAAATACAATAGATCCACCAAAAAAAAATCCTCATTTTTGTTCAGTTCTCTGCTTGGTTTGCAGGGAATGACTGCAGCCAGCCCAAGCTGAGCTCCGTGTGCTCTGGAGCCTCCCTTGGGAAAGGGGATGGATCCAAGGATTATTCCAGCTTTTAAAACACCCTCCAGCAAAGTCTGGAGGATTTTTTTTCATGGCATTGCTCGGTGACAGATTGGATTTTAGGGCTTAGCCTGCCACTGCATTCAGAGCATTTGTTTATGAGATAGAAAATAAGAAAACATCTGTGGTGAACTTTGCAACTTCTCAGCTTTTAACACCAAGGTTTTTAAGGATTCTATCCCAACCCAAGGCTTTTTTTGGAGTCTCCCAGCTCCCTCTTCCAGCATTTGCTGCCGTGTGTCCCTCTCAGGAGGTTTGGAAATGCTGTGATGGTGCAGAAATCTGTCCCTCACCTTCACAAGTGTCACATTTGGGCTCTGAGGTAGCCGGAGCAGAGGTTTTGCTGTCACTCTCCAGGATCCCAGAGTCAGATCCTTCCTCCTGGCTGTGCTGCAGGAAGGAAAAAACAGGAATTAGCCCAGCAGAGCTTGCAGGGACAAGGGGATGCAGCACTTCCATCCCCAGGCACCAGCTGCAGGACGGGACCGAGCAGGTAGGAAGAGGAAATAATTCAGAATAAAAACAACTACTGACTATTTCTCGTTAAAGCCTCTGGAATCAGTACAAAAAAACGAGGAAACATCTTCAAGCTTGGCAAAAATCCCTGCAGTCCAAGTGATTTTGTGACTGACAACTCCCAACCCTCACTCCAAACCACACCTGGAAAAAACTTCGGAAGATTTTTCCTCGCTTTTCACCTCTACCTGCAAAGCCGCTGGAAACAAATCCTAACTAAGCACAGTGAATTATTTGGCAATTCCTACTGGGAAAAAAAAAAAAAGATGGGATAAAAAGAGGGAGGGGAAAAAAAAGCAGGAAAACACGGCTGGAGAAGCTGAGGCCTGGAAGTGCTGCACCCCAGAAAAACGCGCTCAGAGACTGGCACTCTGACACGAGGAGAACAGAGAAGGGAGGCTCTGTCCCTGCTCTGTGGACTCCCGAGAACTTCTCAATTTTAGGGGAATTTTGGTTCGTTTTTCTCTCGGGCAGGTGAGGAGCAGCACAACCAACAAGAAAACCAAGTTCTGGCAGTCCACCATGCAGGGGTACAGAGAAGGGGCGGCTCTGTACGAGAAAAGAACCCACCGGGCAGTGGGGTTTACCTGCGGCTGGTCTGGGCTGGGCTTAGCGACGCTCTGCTCCTTTGGGAGAGTCTGTGCAGCATCTGCAGATGGCAGGTAAAACACAAGGAAAATCCTTCCCGGGAATCCCCCGCTCGCACACCGCACACAGCCCCAGCCTGGAGACACCAGCCAGGCTTGGCAGAGCTCGGGGAGTCCCTGGAGAGCTCCCACAGAGAGGGGATGGAGGGGTTTTGGGGAGAAGCAGCTGGGTGAAAGCTCAGAGTGTTTGGGTTAAAGGGGAAAATTATTCTTGTTCCTCTGGTTTTACTGTGTTTTTCCTTACAGTCGTATTAAATGGAAAATTTGAGATTTTTTTCATGTATTTTTTCCTGTATTTTTCCTTAGAGAATTCAGAATATTCTTCCCTAAAAGGAAAAATGAGTCTTATATTCCCAAAGGGAAAAATAAGTCCTATAGTCCCAAAAGGAAAAATGGTTCTTATATTCACAGAAGGAAAAATTATTCTTATATTCCCAAAGGGAAAAATGGAAAAATACTTTTTTTTTCATGTATTTTTCCCTGTATTTTTCCTTAAAGAATTCAGAATATTCTTCCCCAAAAGGAAAAATTATTCTTTTCCTTACAGCCATCCCAAATGGAAAAATTCTTTTTTTTTCCATGTATTTTCTTCCTGTATTTTTCCTTAAAGAATTCAGAATATTCTTCCCCAAAAGGAAAAATTATTCTTATATTCCCAAAAGGAAAAATTATTCTTATATTCCCAAAGGGAAAAATTATTAATTCCCCTATAGCCATCCCAAATGGAAAAATGAATTTTTTTCATGATTTTTCCTTACAGAATTCAGAATATTCTTCCCAAATGGAAAAATGAGTCTTATATTCCCAAAGGGAAAAATGATTCTTATAGTCCCAAAAGGAAAAATTATTCTTTTCCTTACAGCCATCCCAAATGGAAAAATTGATTTTTTTCATGTATTTTTTCCTGTATTTTTCCTTACAGAATTCAGAATATTCTTCCCCAAAAGGAAAAATTAGTCTTATATTCCCAAAGGGAAAAATTAGTCTTATATTCCCAAAAGGAAAAATGAGTCTTATATTCCCAAAAGGAAAAATTATTCCTATATTCCCAAAGGGAAAAATTCTTATATTCCCAAAGGGAAAAATTATTCTTTTCCTTACAGCCATCCCAAATGGAAAAATTTTTTTTTTTCATGTATTTTTTCCTGTATTTTTCCTTACAGAATTCAGAATATTCTTCCCAAATGGAAAAGTAAGTCTTATAGTCCCAAAAGGAAAAATGAATTTTTTTCATGTATTTTTTCCTGTATTTTTCCTTACAGAATTCAGAATATTCTTCCCTAAAAGGAAATATGAGTCTTATATTCCCAAATGGAAAAATTAGTCTTATATTCCCAAATGGAAAAATTAGTCTTATATTCCCAAAAGGAAAAATTATTCCTATATTCCCAAAGGGAAAAATTATTCTTTTCCTTACAGCCATCCCAAATGGAAAAATTGATTTTTTTCATGTATTTTTTCCTGTATTTTTCCTTACAGAATTCAGATTATTCTTCCCAAAGTGAAAAATTATTCATTTTCCTAACAGCCACTCCAAGCTCCAGGCCTTTTCCACAAGAATTCCTGGTTCTCTGAATATCCATGGATCTGTTACTCCTGGATTGGGAATTGCTCCTGAGGTTGTCTAAAAGCCACCAGGGCCTTGTGGAATTTTCCCTGGAATTCCCAAGGCACAGCAGCCAAGGCTCTTTTGTACATCCATGGAATTTCCACCAATCCCATCCCAGCTGGGAAATTCTAATTTCCCCCCTGATTTCCCTGCTTTTCCAACTGAGGTTCTTTGATATCAAAGAAAAAGTGGAAAAGCAGGAAAATTGCATTGGGAGAAATGTCAAAATATGACAGATCCACCAACAAAAAAAATTAAAATCTCATTTTTGTTCAGTTCCCTGCTTGGTTTGCCTGCAAACCCATTCCTCGACCAGAATTCCAGAGGGAATCCTACCTTTTTTTTGGGATTCCTGAGGATTCCTGCTCTTCCTGAAGGGTTTGGGCACGAGGAATAAAGAGAAAAGGAAGGAAAATTCCATGTACAACGCTGGGTCCAGCTGATGATGCTGCTCCCAGAAGTTCATTAAAAGGCTGAGCTAAATTAACGAGAATCCAATTAACAGGAATCCTCCTGGCCAGTGGCTTCCCTTTCAATTTAACAGGAAAATTCCCTGCTAGATGAGGCTGATCCCCAGCAGGGATCACACACGGATAGGGAAGATCGGAGAACTGGCAGAGAATTCCTTTAAATGGAGCAAAATTCCAGGATCAAAATTGGCAGGGATCTATCAGCAATTCCTGGGGGTTTTTTTTCCTGCTTCCATCGCCTTCCAGGATTTTAATCCCTGATGGAAAACAGGAGCCAGGCTCATCCATCACTGCTGGGAGACTCAGCCTTCCAAAAATCTGATTTTTCAGGGAGTAAAAATACTCCAGGTGTTGGAAAGTTCCTTTCAGGAGCTGGAATATTCCATAAAAAGCAGCCTGAAGGTGAGGGATTCCTAAACTGGGGGAGGCAGGCTTGGGAAAGGTGGGAAAGGAAGGGGGAAATTGGCCAAGGAAAGGGGGGAATTAGACAAGGAAAGGGGGGAAAAATTAGAAAAAGGGGAAAATTAGAAAAGGAAAGGGGGAAAAATTAGAAAAGGGAAAAATCAGACAAGGGAAGGGAAAAATTAGACAAAATATGGGGGAAAATTAGGCAAGGAAAGGGGGAAATTGGACAAGAGGGATAAAGACAAATGGGAAAATTAGAAAAGGGGGAAAATTAGTCAAGAAAGGGGGAAAAAATTGACAAGAAAGGGGGGAAATGAGACAAGGAGGGAAATTAGGAAGGAAGGGAGAAATGAAACAAGGAAAGGAGGGAAAAGGAGCCAAATGCAGCCATTCCTGTGCTGGGCTGAAGGAAAGCCAAGAGCTGGAAAAGGAGGGGAAACGGATGGAAAAGGAGGGAGAATGGATTGGAAAGGGATGGAAAATGGATGGAAAGGGAAGGAAAGAAGCCAGAAAAGGAATGAAAATGGCCAGAAAAGGAAGGAGAATGGACGGAAAAGGAAGGAGAACAGATGGAAAAGGAAGGAAAATGGACAGAAAAGGAAGGAGAATGGATGGAAAAGGACGGAGAATGAGGGAAAAGGAAAACTGATGGAAAAGGAGGGAGAGTGGATTGGAAAGGGATGAAAAATGGATGGAAAGGGAAGGAAAGAAGCCAGAAAAGGAAGGAGAATGGACAGAAAAGGAAGGAAAATGGCCGGAAAAGGAGGGAGAATGGATGGAAAAGGAAAGAGAACGGATGGAAAAGGAAGGAAAATTGATGGAAAGGGAAGGAAAGAAGCCAGAAAAGGAAGGAAAACAGCCAGAAAAGGAAGGAGAACGGATGGAAAAGGAAGGAGAAGGAGGGAAAAGGGAAGGAAAATGGATGGAAAAGGAAGGAGAATGGATGGAAAAGGAAAACGGATGGAAAAGGAGGGAGAATGGATTGGAAAGGGACGGAAAATGGATAGAAAGGGAAGGAAAGAAGCCAGAAAAGGAAAGAAAACGTCCAGAAAAGGAAGGAGAATGGATGGAAAAGGAAGGAAAATGGATGGAAAAGGAAGGAAAATGGATGGAAAAGGAAGGAAAATGGATGGAAAAGGAAGGAAAATGGATGGAAAAGGAAGGAAAATGGATGGAAAAGGAAGGAAAATGGATGGAAAAGGAAGGAAAATGGATGGAAAGGGAAGGAAAGAAGCCAGAAAAGGAGGGAAAATGGATGGAAAAGGAAGGAAAATGGACAGAAAAGGAAGGAAAATGGATGGAAAAGGGAAGGAAACAATCCCTGTGCACTCCAAGGTTGCTCTGCCAAGCGTGGTTGGTTTGGGCCACACTCACACACAGCCAGGCCTAACTGTGCCCCAGGAAGGGCTTTCCTGAGCCAGGCCTAAAGGGAGGCCAGGGCTGGCCCAGGAACTGCCACAATCCAAGGAAAAGGCCAGAGATTGGCTGGGAATGCTGAGCTCCACACACACGGCTTTGCTCGGGGAACGGCACTCACACAATTTTCCTACAGGTAAAAAGAGTCCAAAGAGAATTCCAAAGATTCTTCTAGAAAAGAAATCGAAATATCCTTGAAAAGAATCTTCTGGAAAAAAAAATCCAAGGCAGAAAGTGCTGAAGCCTCGAGGGCCAAGTTTTGAATTTTAATTGGATTTTTTAATTTCTCCACACGGGCCTGAGCCCTCCTAAAGGTTTAAAATCTGTTTTATCTCCTGAAAAAAATGAGAAATGCAGCACAAAATTCCACAGCTCTGCCAGTGGAGTTTATTTTTCCCAGTCCTACAACAGGAACCGGTTTTAAAGAAGCCCCCCCAAGCTCAGGTTAATTTAAGGATAAATTTTCCTCTTCTGATGGAGTTGGATTTGATTTCTCCCACGAGCTGGGGAAGCTGCAAGGTTCAAGATTAAAGCCTTGCAGGGCTTTTAGGATTTGGAGTTTTAATTTAGAGATAATTTAAATAAATTAGAGATTTATTTCTTTTATGAAAGAAATTAGAGAGAATTTAGAGTGGGGTTTTTTTTTTTTTTTTCTTTTCAGGCTTTGAAAACTTAGAATTTTTGATATTGATCAAAATATGAGTGAGAGCAAGAATTTGCAGTTCTAAAGCTGAAAAAATATTGAGAAATTAATAAAAGATTGATTTTGATAGATGGAAGATTGGTTTCAATCAAGGATGGATTTCAGGATTTTAGGATATCTGGATTTTAGGATTCCTGGATTTTAGGATTCCTGGATTTAGCTTTGGCCCAAATTTGGGGGTTTTTGGCATCACTCAAACAGCTCCTGGCACACAGAAAAGACACAAACTCCGAGAGATTTGCTTGGAAAAGCTTCTGAGAGAAGTTTTATTCCTCCTGCAGCCACAGGATTTGGGATTTTCCTGGATTTGGGTACTTACCAGCACAGAGCAACATTTATGGAACGGGAGCAACCTACCTGGGAGTGCAGCAGGGCTGAGGTTCCTCTTCAGCATCTCGTACACGGGGCTGGGGAGGAACAGGAAGATCCCTTTTAGAGAGAGCCCAGGAACCACAAACCCACTCATTTTTTATACATTTATCTCTAAAAACGATCAGGGAATACATTTTCCTACAGATCCCAAAAATCACAGAGGTTTTTCCTCTGGAGTGATCTCAAAACACCAGTGGGGTTTTCTACCAGAAACCACTGAGGTGTTTTTTCCCTAGAGATCCTAAAACCCACACTGAACTTATCCCTAGAAAAACCCCAAAACCCCCAATTAATTAACCCATTCTGGGTTTGGGGTTCTGGGTTTTTGGTTTTACATTTCTCATCACAACCCTCAGCACACAACTCTGATTTCAACTGAAATTCACCACCCAGACTTGGAGAAAATCCAGAACCAAAACCCAGAACCCCAAACCCAGAACCTCGAACCAAAACCTAGAACCAAAATCCCAAACCAATACATAGAACCCCAAAACCATGACCCAGAACCCCAAAACCAAGACCTAGAACCCCAAAAAACAAGACCTAGAAAACCCAGAACCCCAAACCAAGACCCAGAACCCCAAACCAAGACCCAGAACCCCAAACCAAGACCCAGAACCCCAAAACCAAGACCCAGAACCCCAAAACCAAGACCCAGAACCCCAAAACCCTAGACCTAGAACCCCAAAAATCAAGACCTAGAACCCCAAATCCAAAACCAAGCCTTAAAACCAAAAACCCAGAACCCCAAGCCAAGACCTAGAACCCCCAAATCCAGACCCAAGACCTAGAACCCAAACCTGGAACCCCAAACCAGAACCCAGTACCCCAAAACCAAGACCCAGAACCCCAAAAAACAAGACCTAGAAAACCCAGAACCCCAAAACCAAGACCTGGAACCCCAAACCAGAACCCAGAACCCCAAACCAAGACATAGAAACCCAAATCTAGACCCAGAACCCCAAAGCCCTAGACCTAGAACCCCAAACCAGAACCCCAAAAATTGAGACCTAGAACCCCGAATCCAAAACCAAGCCTTAAAACCAAAAACCCAGAACCCTAAACCAAGACCTAGAACCCCCAAATCCAGACCAAAGACCTAGAACCCGAACCTGGAACCCAAACCTGGAACCCCAAACCAGAACCCAGAACCCCAAAACCAAGAAACCCAAACCTGGAACCCCAAACCAGAACCCAGTACCCCAAAGCAAGACCCAGAACCCCAAACCAGAACCAAGACCTAGAACCCCAAATCCAGACCCAAGACCTAGAACCCCAAACCCAGAACCCCAAGACCCAGAACCCCAGAGCTGCCCTTTCATCCCACCGGTGCCACCTGACCAAAAATGAGATTTTGATGAGATTTCCCCCCGAATTCCCACAGGAAAAGGGGAATTTCCCCTCACCTGGGATCCCGCAGGGAGAAGCTCTGCAGGCCCAGCAGCTCTCCCAGCTGGTCTCCCCCGCAGTGAACCAGGTGCTGCTGCCTCTTGTCGTAGAGCTGCCGGCCCAGGATGTACTGACCCAGGAAATGCATCACCTGCAGGGACACAGCGCCTTCCCTCAGCCCCACAGACCCGGGAATTCCCTGGCATGGAGCCCTGGGATGGAGGGGAACTGCCAGGGATGGAGGGGAACCAAAGGTGCCCCCAAAGGGACCACAAAAAGTCCACAAAAAGTGACACCAAAGTGGTCCTGAAGTGCCCCAAAGGTGTTCCCATAAAGTGACCCCAAAGTGATCCCAAAGTGACCCAAAAGTGTTGCCAAAAAGTGACTCCAAAGTGATCCCAAAGTGACCCAAAAGTGACCCCAAAAAGTGACCCCAAAGTGATCCTGAAGTGCCCCAAAAGTGACCCCAAAGTCCCCAAAAAGTACTCCTAAAGTGTCCTTAAAGTGATCCTGAAGTGCCTCAAAAGTGCTCCCAAAAAAGTGACCCCAAAAAGTGACCCCAAAGTGATGCTGAAGTGCCCCAAAGTGTCCTCAAAGTGATCCTGAAGTGACCCAAAAGTGCTCCCAAAAAAGTGACCCCAAAGTGATCCCAAAGTGCCCTAAAAGTGACCCCAAAGTGTCCTCAAAAAGTGATCCTGAAGTGTCCCAAAAGTGACCCTGAAGTGCCCCAAAGTGACCCAAAAAATGACCCAAAAGTGATCCTGAAGTGCCCCAAAAGTGTTCCCAAAAAAGTGACACCAAATAGATCCTGAAGTGCCCCCAAAGTGATCCTGAAGTGCCCCAAAGTGACCCAAAAAATGACCCAAAAGTGATCCTGAAGTGCCCCAAAAGTGTTCCCAAAAAAGTGACACCAAATAGATCCTGAAGTGCCCCCAAAGTGATCCTGAAGTGCCCCAAAGTGACCCAAAAAATGACCCAAAAGTGATCCTGAAGTGCCCCAAAAGTGTTCCCAAAAAAGTGACCCAAAAGTGATCCTGAAGTGCCCCAAAGTGACCCAAAAGTGATTCTGAAGTGCCCCAAGTGTTCCCAAAAAAGTAACCACAAATTGATGCTGAAGAGCCCCAAAGTGACCCCAAAGTGACCCAAAAAGTGACCCCAAAGTGATCTTGAAGTGCCCTGAAAATGTTCCCAAAAAGTGATCCTGAAGTGCCCCAAAAGTGTTCCCAAATTGATCCTGAAGTGTCCCCAAAGTGTCCCCAAGGTGCCCCTTCAGTAAAAAGGGAACATTTTCCAGGAGGGGTTGAAACACCGGGAATCCCAGTGGGAATCCCACGGCACTTCCCAAAAACCCCGGGATAAGGCCGGGAACGCGGCCCCACCTCCTTGAGCGTGAAGGTGTCGCCCTGGGCGCCCGCAGCCTGCAGAATCCTCAGGAGGGGAACTTTGGGAATCACCTGGAAAAACACAGCAAGGTTCGGTTGGAATTCCGGGAATCAAACCCGGAATAATCCCAAAAAATCCCGAGGAATTTGGATTTTACCCCTCCCCGTTTGGATGTTTTGAGCATTTATTTTGCTCAGATTTATTTATTAATTTCTATTTATTTAATTTTTTTCCTCTATATATTTTTATTTATTTATTCACTTTCATTGAGCACTATAAATTTTATTTATTTACTCATTCCATTTTTTTTTTTTCCGGATTTGGCTCCGGTTCCAAGCTCTTCAATTTTCCTCAAATGGAAAATCCAAATTTATTCCCACTCCCAGCACATTCCCTGCTATTGGAATTTTTCTCCCAAGGAATTGGCTCTTGGGAGGTGGAATTTCTGATTTTTTAATTTTTTTTTTTCCAGCTGATTTTTATTGTTTGTGAATTTTTCCGCTCTTGATGGCTTTTTATTCCAGGAAAACTCCAGGAATTTTGGATAACAGGAATATTCTGAGTCCAAATACTCCCTAAACTACCTCAAAAAAAAGCCCTGGGGATGAATTACTAAAGAAAACTCAATAAAATTATAAACATTATAAATTTAATTCAATCCTGATATGTAGAAAAATCTCCAATATTTGGAATCTAGCTCCAAGAAAAAAAAAATCCAGTAGAATAATATCCATAATTCCATGGTTTGATGTTCTTTAGTAATTTAATTAAAAATTAAATAAATTAAATTAATCAGTTTTTTGCACCCTTGAAAATATTCCTAAATCATGGAAAGAGAACAAATTGGGATAAATCTCAATTCTTTTTTAGGATAAATTCTCCGGATTTAAAGATATTTCGGATTTCATTAAAAAATCGCTGCTCTGAGGAGGAAATGATGGCAAGGAGGGGTAATTAGCTACTAATTAGCTGTCAATTACCTGATTGGCTTGTCCAAGGGTGATCCTGCAGGAATTCCCAGCTCCTGGATGTTGGGTGGGATTTGGGAAGCTCATCCTGGCAGTGAGGAGCTGCTCAAGCACCGACCTGGAAATGGGATTTGGGATTAAAATCCACCTGGAAATGGGATTTGGGATTAAAATCCACCTGGAAATGGGATTTGGGATTAAAATCCACCTGGAAATCCCATCTGGAATCCTGGCCCGGGCCCCTCCGGGGGCGGGGGGTTGGAAAAAACAACGGGAAAAAATAATCCTGGAAAAAACTGGGATGGGCTGCTCAGGGTGGGCTCAAAAATCCCTGGATGGGCTCAAAAATCCCACTTGGGGACACGGCTGGGTGGGATTTGTTGATCCCAAAGGTTTTTCCCAACCCTAAACATTCCAGGATTCCCTAAACATTCCACGAGTCCCAATCAGGGTTGGATTTGCTGATCCCAAAGATCTTTTCCAACCCTAAACATTCCAGGATTCCCAGCTGGGTTGGATTTTCTGATCCCAAAAAGTCTTTCCCAACCAGGCTGGGCTGGATGGTGGATAAAAGGGATAAAATAATGGATAAAATATGAATAAAAAGTGGATAAAATGCAGCCTGGGATAGCGGGAGGTGGGATTGGATGATCCTTTCCAACCCAAACCATTCCAGGATTCCCTGTGCTGGTTTGGGTGGGATATTGGGAATAAATCCTTCCCTGGAGGGGCTGGGATGGAATTCCCAGAGAATCCGTGGCTGCTCCATCCCTGGGAGCGTCCCAGGCCAGGCTGGAGCAGCCTGGGATGGGGAAATGTCTCTGGAACACAAAGGTGGAGCTGGGTGATCCTGGAATTCCAGCAGGGAATGATTCAATCAGGGAAAACATTCCAGAGTGTGAAATTCCTGACTCAGAGCTGGGGAAGGAGAAGCTGAGTCACATCCCAAAGGAATTCCCCCCCATTCCAGCAGCTCCCATTCATTCCCAAAGGAGAAGCCACAATCAGCTCCTCCCTGATTTCCTAAAAAATTCCCAAAAAAGCCCGTCTGCAATCAGGGAATAAATGAATTCCTGGCATTCCTGGAAGAGCAGGTGCCAGAGCCTTTCCTGGAAGGAACACCAGGGAAAATCCGAAAAAAAAATCGCAATTTTTCACAGCTCACAAAAATCAGCTTCACCTCAACAATCACCCCTCAAATCCACTTAAATCCTTCCCTAAAAAGGGCTGGAAAAGTTGGAAAAACCAGGAATTATTTGTCAATTAAATAGTGGGGAAAAAGCAACTTTAATTGGCTCAAAGTCTTGACCTTGTGGCAAAATTTGTGTCTGCCCAGAGCAGAAATTGAGATTAAAATCTCAGTTTTGTAAGGATTTGGTTGCAAATAAACTGGATTATTTATAAACTAGGTTTTTATTTATAACCAAATACAAAAATAAAATATTTAGGTTAAAGCAGGAAAAGAATTCCCAAAATTGACTCCTGGAGTTGTCTGGCAGCTGGAATTTTGGGGATGTTTTCATTGGGATTTTTAATTTGTGGATTAGTTGAATTTTGGTTATAATGATAAATGAGATGAATAAATTTTTATTTCATTTAAAAGAATTTAATTAGTAATAAAAGAGATGACTTTTGAAAATGCAAAGCCTCGACATTTGCAAGGTGAAATTGGAATGGTTTTTCAGGGAATTTTCCCGGATAAATGGATTTATTCCCACTGCAATTATCAGGAATTTCAGGCACGTGATGAGTTTGAAATTAATATTTTGGAAATAATCAAACTCCTGCCTCAGGAATGCAGCTGTAGACAAAACAAGGAAGCTCAAAACATCACAAAAATCAGAATTTCAGCACCAATTTGGAGCTCTGGGAACTTCAATCCCTGCCCCAGGTGTTAAAAGGAATTTTTTGGGATTTTGGGAGAGAATTCTGAGGGGTTTTACAGCATTTCTATGGAATCAAATGGAAATTCCATGGGGAAAAAAAAAATCATTCCCGAAAATCCAGCATCCCTAAATATTTGGGAAGGGTTGATTCAAGAACATCAAACATTCGAATTTCTAAATAATAATTCAAATTATAACAGCTTCAAGCCCTTCCCAGATAACAGTTCCCTAAATTTTAACCAATTTCTGATGGAAGAAAATGAAATATTGAACATGAAATGCCCTTAAACCTCTCAAAATGAGCACATCAAATATTTATATTTGTGAGGAGCAGCGACAGCAACCTGAAATAATTCAAATTACAACACTTTAATCCCTTCCCGGTTAATTTTTCCTTAAATTTTAACCGATTTCTGATGGAAAAAAAACCCAAATATTGAACACAAACACCCTTAAAATGAACTGGATTTACCGACCTTGACTTTCTCTGCCCGGCAGGAATATCCTGGGATTTTTATCCCGGGATTTTGCCGTGGGATAATTCCTCTGCCACGTCCTGAGGATGCTGAAGGTTTGGCTAAAAATCGCTTTTTTCAAACCTCGCCCGAGGGAGGGAGGGACCGAAAGCGATAACGGCCGGGCTGGGGTGAAAATCAGCTTTAAAAAGGAGAAAAAATTTGGATTTCCTCTCCCTCCCCTTTCCTGGAAAAGGATTTTGCTGCCCGAGGGCTGAGGGAGAGGAGTTTTAACCTTTTCAGCACCCAAAATCTCCCGAGTTTTCCACAGAAATTATTTTTTATATTTTTTCCTGGCAGCTTGCCGCTCATTAATATTCCCATTCCATTAGAAATTCATCTCGCTGTTAATTAAGGGGTTTTTTTTCACGACTTTTAAAAATATTTCCAGGCAGGAAAAAAATAAAATAATCATAAAATTTAAAGATATAACCGACATGAAAAGCTCCCACGTGGTGGAAATTCCTTAAAAAAAAAAAAAAAAAAGGGAATTTCGTGCTCGGCCAGCCCAGAAATTTGGGATATTTCCAATCCTAAATTTCACCTCTAAATTCCCAGCTTGGAATGGAACTCCGGGGGGGATTTGAGGTGCTCAAAATGTCCCAGGAGCAGAGGAAATCGTGAATCACACCCGAGTCATGAACTGAGCAAATTTTCCACTCTAAAATTTCACCCCCGCCACGGGAAGTGAAATTTGCCTCTTTTTATGACTAAAAATTGCCTCTTTTATGACCAAAAATTGCCTCTTTTTTACGACTAAAAATTCTTCTTGGAGCCACCAAAAACCCCCATGAAACCGCAGCTTTTTTTTTTTGAACTAAAATCTCAAGTGGAGAAGTCGAGTTAAAATTAAGTTTTTAAACTCCGTTTAAAGTAGAAACACAGCAGGAGTTGGGTTCAGGTGAGAGTAATTTTTTCAGCTTTCAAAATAAAAAAAGTAAAATATTGAAAATAAAATTGGGATTTTTGGTAATTTTAGGTAAAACAACCCTGAAGGGAAGGCTTTAAACAGGCACTGATGCGATCATGAAGCCACTGATAATTAAGTTTGTCCTTTTCAGAGGGGTTTCACGCCTCAAATTTAGCCTTTTTAATGAAAAAAAAATTACTTTTAAAATTCAGATTTTGTACCTGAGATGAATTTTGCGGCTGGCACGATGCATCTGACAGGAATTTTGGGTTTTTCCCCCAAAAAAATGCCACCCAAAGCTTGGCTAAATAAAAGATAACACATCAAAAATGTTTTGCAAGTGTTCCTTTTGGTTGTGAAAGGGGGAGGAAAACCAAAAGTGCTCAATGAAAGTCACAAAGAGCCAATTGCTCTGCAAATCTTCCCGAAATCCCTCCAGGAATTTGGGATAAGGAAACGCTTCCTGAAGGTGCCGATTTGGATTTATCTCTATTTGAAGTGGAAAAAAGAATTGGCCTTAAATAAACAAAACTGGTGTTGTGTGGGATGGGGTTTGTGAGGTGAAATCCTGGAATTAGAGAGGCTTGGGTTGGAAAAGGCCTTAAAATCCATCCAATTCCACGGGCAGAGATGTTTTCCACAATCCCACGGTGCTCCGAGCTGGCCTGGGACATTTCCAGGGATGGAGAAGCCACGGTTTCTCTGGGAATTCCATCCATTCCCCCTCCTAGGGAAGGATTTATTCCCAAAATCCCACCTATCCCTGCCTTGTGTGAGGCTGGAGCCTTCCCCCTCCTCCTGGCGCTCCGAGCCTTTGGAAACATTCCCCATCCATCTTTCTCGCCGCCTCCCTCCAGGCCACAATTAAAACATCCCGAAGCTTCCCTTCTCCAGGCGGGACAATCCCAATTGTCCCAGAGATTCCTGGGAAGAGATAAAATTCATCTTCGCTCCCGCCGCCCCAGGCCCCTCCCGCCGGCACCGCCTCCTGCCCCCCCTCCTGCTCCTCACCGCCCCCTCAGCCCTACGCCCCCCGGGACCCCCGCGTTCCCCTCGGCTCCGTGCTCACCCTACAGCCGCTCCATGGGCTCCGGGCCGGGGGTCGGGGAGGGGAAGGAACCCCTACACCCCCTGAGGGCTCTGCGCCTCCATTTTAGCGGGGTCCGGGCCTCCGCTTCCCCTCACGGCCAACATGGCGGCGGGGCCACAGAGAGGGAGGGGGGTGTGCTGCTAGAAGGGACGCGGTGCCGCCCTGAGTGTGTGGCGCCCCCCAGCGGCTTGGAGGACCCCGGCGGTGCGCCCTCCGCCTCGGTGCAAAATGGTATTAATTTTAAAGTTTAATTGTTAAATTATTATTATGATTTAAAATTATTATTATATAAAATAATAACAGAAAATACATAAAATAATACTGATAATAAAGACATAAATAATAAATACATAATACATAATACATAATACATAATGCATAATACATAATACATAACACATAATACATAATACGTAATACGCAATGAATATTTTGCCTGCTATAATATTTTATGCAATATAACATATTTCAATAAATAAAAATTGATAATAATAATTAGTGATAAATATGAATGAAAATAATAAGGAATGCCTGGAAAAATAAAATTTTATCTCAAGTCAGGATGTTCTTTGATGCGAGATCTTTATATATTTTCAGGTTAAATCAGCAGAACAGGCAGCACGAACATCCCTGACTCAAGGACACCCTGGAATTATCCAACCTTAAGGATGGAATAAATCAAAATGTCGATGTGTGTCTATGTAGACATCCCTGAGCTGGCAAAATATTCAAGGTCCCTGTGTCCTAGAGCTGAGCTATGTTTATTTTAATTCCCACCTGGATATTTGGATATTCCCTGGAATACCCACCTGGATATTAGAATATCCAGCTACATTCATTATAAAACCCACACTTTCCCGTGTCATTGCTCCAGGTCACCCTGCCTTGTCGCAGGGGTGGACTGAATTCTTTCCAGAGCTCCCTTCCAAGCTGGGATCCACACGTCTGGAAAATTCCCAGCTAATCCCGGCACGGGCGCAGCTCTTGGGAAGCGACCGGAGCGGAACCGCTGGGTGCCAACGGCACAACCCTCCGCCATGCTCTGGGTTTGTGGCCGACTGCACGGCTGCCGCAGAAATAATTAGAATAGTTTATCTAATTATGTGTTTGGACCCGGGGGGAGGGAACAGAATTCCTGCAAAAAAACCAGGAGCGATCGTCCTGCTGTGTGCTGATAAGAGCATTTCGAGCCCACGACGTCCAGAGCCCGGATAGCTCAGTCGGTAGAGCATCAGACTTTTAATCTGAGGGTCCAGGGTTCAAGTCCCTGTTCGGGCGAATGTCCTTTTTCCATATATTCGTTCTATTTTTTTTTTTATTTCCTGTCGGGACTCGCCGCAGGCACAGCCGGGACCCTCCGGCGGGCAGCGCCGGCCGTGGCGCGCGTGTGGAAAAGAGATTTTGGGGGAAAAAAATAATAATGGGGCAATAAAATTAAAAGAATAGTGAAAAAGGGAGAGTCGCCCGAACAGGGACTTGAACCCTGGACCCTCAGATTAAAAGTCTGATGCTCTACCGACTGAGCTATCCGGGCTCTGCTGCAAAGGGCGGCGCTGCCGAATATCACCCTGTGCCGGGCTGTGCTTTCCTGGCTGCACCCAAACCTGCGCCTCCTCTCCTGCACCCCCTAAGTGACCCCTCCACCTGAACCCCAAATCTGCGCCCCAGAGTCTGTACCCCCCCCCGTACCCCCTGATTGATCCCCTCCACCTGAACCCCACAGTTCTGGGGTCTGCACCTTCCCTGCCTGCCCCTGACTGAACCCTCTCTGCCTGTACCCCCGTTTGCACCCAGCTGTCTGCACCCCCTGATTGATCCCCCTGCCTGTACCCCTGATTGATCCCCCCTGATTGATCACCCCTGATTGATCCTCCCTGATTGATCCCCCTGTCTGCCCCCCGCAGCCACCAGCCCCACGGCCGCGGATCCCAAGAATCCAGCGCCAGGCTCATCCCGCACATTCCACTGATCCCGCACATTCCTCTCCCCACGGGCTGGGAGAACGGGGGTGTCCCCACTGCCGGTTCTGGGGGTCCCCCGGTCTCTTCTCCCTTTAGCAAAGTGAGGTGCGCCGGAGAAGAGTCTGGGGGTTAAAAGGGCAAGAGAAGGACCGGGAATGATCCGTGCCAGGACCGGGAATGATCCATTCCAGGACCAGGAATGATTCGGTGTCCCTGGACACGAGGCTGGCTGGGGCCTGCTGGGACATGGGGTCACACCCGGGGACCCCCAGCTCTCCTGGTGAATCCCAAGAAACCTCCACCCTCCCTCCAGGGGAATCTTGAGGAAGGCCGGGATAACACTCTGGGATTCGTAACACCGGGATAATTTCTGCGACCCCCGGGGTCTCGGGGTGAGCGGAATTCCAGGGATGGAATGCCGTAATCCCTGTCTGCCAGGGAAAACCCATCCCGGCACCTCTGCCACGGCTCGGGGTGTCCCCCTGTCCCCTGAGCCCGGGGCTGCTGCGGTGACAAAGTGTCCGGGGGGCTCTGGGGACCGGCACCCCGGTCCCAAAGCAGCTCCCACATTCCCTTATCCCCAGTGGGGAATCGCAGAGATGTCCCCGAGGATGGGGACAAGGGCGAGGCCATCCCACGGGGGAGATGCGGGGACACGAGGAGGGAACCGCCGGGATTCCATGGGGAGAGCCGGGGGCAGCCCGGGGACAGCGCGGGGACAGGAGAGGGATGCGGGGACAGGGCAAGAGGATGCGGGAATGCGGGAGCAGCACCCCGGAGCGTGCCCGGGACAGCGGGGGACACCTGGGGACACCGGGGGACACAGCGGGAGGATCAGCCCGGGCTCCGTGCGATGCGGAGGGAGACCTGGGACACCCCGGGGACATTCAGGGGACACCGGCCGGGACTCTGTGCAATGCCGGACACCCCGGGGACATTCAGGGGGACACCGGGGGACACCGGCCGGGGCTCTGTGCAATGCCGGACACCCCGGGGACATTCAGGGGGACACCGGGGGACACCGGCCGGGGCTCTGTGCAATGCCGGACACCCCGGGGACATTCATGGGGACACCGAGGGACACCGGCCGGGGCTCTGTGCAATGCCGGACACCCCGGGGACATTCAGGGGGACACCGGGGGACACCGGCCGGGGCTCTGTGCAATGCCGGACACCCCGGGGACATTCAGGGGGACACCGGGGGACACCGGCCGGGGCTCTGTGCAATGCCGGACACCCCGGGGACATTCAGGGGGACACCGGGGGACACCGGCCGGGGCTCTGTGCAATGCCGGACACCCCGGGGACATTCAGGGGGACACCGAGGGACACCGGCCGGGGCTCTGTGCAATGCGGAGCGCGGCCGGGAGATGGCCCCGCACCGCCCCGCGCTGCGCCCGCCATTGTCCGCCGCCTCCGCCGCGATGTTCCCGCCTCCCTCCGGCTCCTCCCGCATCCCTCCGGCTCCTCCCGCATCCCTCCGGCTCCTCCCGCATCCCTCCGGCTCCTCCCGCATCCCCGGCCCCGCCGCCGCCGCCGCTCGGAGCAGGTAGGGCCGCGCCGGGGAGCGGAGGGAGCGAGGGGCTCCGCTCGGCTCGCCCCGCTGAAAAATTATATTTTCTGTTTCAATGTGGGTTTGTTTGCCCGTAATTTCCCCTCCCGGGGGGGAGATGAGGGTCCCGCTGGCTTCCCGAAAGCTGCGGCTCCATCCTGGTGCTGCTCCCGGAGCAGCGGGATCCCCAAAAGCGGCGGGGGGGATGCGGGGCTGCCCCTCGCCAGGGATGGGGGGCTCGGAATGTCCCCGGGCAGAGAGAATTTGGGGGGTTTGGATGAGCGGAACAATGAAATGGTGCCCGAGGAGTTGGGCAAAGGGGACGGGGGGGATAGAAATAGGGAAGGGATGGGGATCACGGAATCCTGGAATGGTTCTGGTCTTGGTTTTTGGTTTTGGAGCCTCTGCTCCCCACCCGCCTGGCCTGGGGAGGGATGGCACCCTTGGGATCGGTCTGGGGGACAGGACAGGGACAGGGACAGGGACAGGGACAGGAACAGGGACAGGGACAGCCGTGGTGTGAGGTTCAGCTCCATCCCATCCCTAAACCCCACGGTTTTAGGGGCAGGAGGCTCTTGTGAGGATCCCTGCGCTCCTGCGGATCCCGAACCTGCGGGAATGCTCCTGGATAACAAATTCCAGAGGTTTGGGAGCTGCTCCCCTCGGGAGAGGGAGCTCCATGGATTCCCTGCCTGTGTGTGCGAGGCCGAGCACGGCTGGGATTGTTCCCGGGATCCGGGCCCGGCTCAGCGAGCACCAGCGTGACCAGGAAAATCAATCCTTCCTTCCCAGAGCGGGAGGCGCGGGATAGCAGGGAGCTGTGGGATGGGGAAACCTGCCTGGAGCCCGGATCTCCCAGGAAAATCAATCCTTCCTTCCCAGAGCGGGAGGGATTGGGATAACAGCGAGCTGTGGGCTGGGGGAACCTGCCTATCCCGGATTTCTCGGGATAACCGCCCCACCTCCAGGCACCTGCCCCACCTCCTGGCCTCCCAAATTCCAGAGGGAGGCTGGGGAGAGGATCCAGAGGATCCAGAGGATCGGCCCTTCCCAGCCTGCTGCCGGGCATTCCCTGCCTGCTGCAGTGGGAGCAGGTGCTCCGTGTGGGAGTGTTGCCGGGATTCACCGGGATTCACCGGAATTCACCGGGATTCACTGGGATTCACCGGGATTCACCGGGATTCACCGAGATTCACCGAGATTCACCGGGATGTGACAGCCAGAGCACAGGGATACCCCGGGATGGGAAGGGCTGTGCAAGGCCAGGGACTGGAAAGGCTCAGGGATCCCTCCAGGAGCATTCCCAATCCCATCCCGGTTTTCCGTGCCTGTGTCCTTGGCATGGGAATCCTGCAGGATGAGCAGCCCCAGGAGCTGCTTCCCATTCCAGGCTGGGATGGATCTGGTGAGGATTATGGGGCCCTAAAAGGGTTGAGGATGATCCTGATCCTTCCTGAATCCCCAGGATGACGATCTCAGTTTTTCCTGCATCCCTGGGATGATCCCTGTCCTCCCTGAATCCTTTCTTTGCTTCCAGAGGTTTGGATTTGCTGGATTTGAGGTTGATGGATGCATTTGTGGCTCTAGA